ATATATAAATATATATATTATATTTTACTTTTCAGTTAAAGTTTATTTTATGCAATGAGTTTTATATGGTTTAAGGTTTTGTTTTATTTAACTATGATAACCCAGAAAAGTACAGAAAATATGATAAAAACCATGTACCACTGAAACTCCACAGTACTTTTATATACCATGTTTGATTTTCCTTAAAAAAAAAAATAATGTTGCGGTATTTTCCTCAAGGTATTTTAATGTCACTGTAAGGTATTTCAAAAAATACTATTGCCATAATATTGTATCATATGGTAACTCACTGCTGCTTTAATATATATATCAGAGTGCTGCAATTCATGAAGCATGGTATTTATGTGCTACTCCAAGGTGCTTACCATGGTATTTTTTGAAAAGCCTTACTATTTAAAAAGCATGAGACATGAATGTTGTGATCAGATTTAACAGCACAACACCAGAAGAGTGAAAGACTGACTTGAGCTGGATGAGGATGTTCTTCTGCGTGAGCTTCCTCTTGCACAGGAAGCCGCTCTTCATCTTCACGCTGTAGCTGATGCTGTGGAAGCTCACGGTCGCTCCTCGTCTGGCCGATGAGGAGCTCGTCCTGGTGGACACATTGTTGTCCAGATCTCCGACTCTGCTCATCTGAACGGCTGTGTCTGCCATCACAACACCTGAGGAGCTCTGAGGAACAGCAAACCTCATCAGCTGGCAGAAGACAGGAACTAAAATCAGGGCTGAGCTCATAAACCAAGTTTCAGTCTGTTTGCAGAATCACAATGTACCTGAACTATCCGCTTACATCATTTTTATACAAGGAAAACTGTGTTGAAATATGTGACCCTGGAGCACAAAACCGGTATATTTGTAGCAATAGCCAAAAAGACACTGTATCCATTTTTCTTTGATGCCAAAAATCATTAGGATGTTAAGTAAAGATCATGCTCCATGAAGATATTTAGTAAATCTCCTACCGTAAATATATCAAAACTTAATTTTTGATTAGTAATATGCATTGCTAAGAACTTCATTTGAACAACTTTAAAAATGATTTTCTCAATATTTAGATTTTTTGGCACCCTCAGATTCCAGATTTTCAAATATTGTCCGATCCTAACAAACCATACATCAATGAAAAGCTTATTTATTCAGCTTTCAGGTGATGCATAAATCTCAATTTTGAGAAATGGACCCTTATGACTGGTTTTGTGCTCCAGGGTCACATATACACGGTATAACTCCAGCCTTCAATATCTCGGGATAAATAAACGAATAAAACAGAACAAATACAATATTGACTGAAACAATCGATCTTGTTTTTATCAGATCATCGGGTGAATATCGATTAATCGACGATTATTGCAGGCGTGATTCAGAGAAGCTATTTACACTCACCTGAAGCAGAGCCGCAGCGCGCGATTATCTGAGGAGCGAGTGTGTGTGTGTGTGTGTGTGTGAGAGAGAGAGAGAGAGAGTATTTATGTGAATGAGGTTTCATAAAAACACGAGGCGTGTCACACGTGTTACGAATACCGGAGACTTTATGAAGCCAATGCATCAGCGTTTAGACATCAAATCAAATTGGTACCACCAGCTTTTGGGAGCTGATATGACTTTGTTTTATTCATGTCTCTTCATGAGAAATATATAACAACATTTTAGAATTTCAACTAGAATTTCATGACGAATACTGCGGATTTTTATTATCAATTCCGTCGTCTTAAAATACCACTAAAATAGTTAAGTCATCATTTGGGTTTATTAACAAAAAATGACAAATACCTGATTCATAACAATATTGTCCCTAAAGTGTTCTCAGCTTAAAGCTGTACCTTTAGACAGGAAACTCTTCAGACACACTGCAGAGGGAACTTGATTTGGGAGCTAAACTGATACATTCAGGACAATGTATATATTCAAATAATAGCTTTATAGCATAAAGGACAAATGCAAAAGGGCCACTCAGTTTCAACTATCCTGCCAAACTAAAAGGATAATTTAAAATTAAATGAAAAAGTTGAAGTAGTGAAAACTTCAAAGAAATGGTGGCCAAGTTATGCATACATTTTCGCTTAAACAATTACATTCGTCTCGCTGTTGAGAAAAACTTCACATCCTTCAGTTATAGTATAGTGTACTTCTGCTTTATATAGTCTACACAAGCACATCTGCTGGGTCAGCCATCAGACAAGGACTTCATGGGGAAATTAAAACATTTATTACTCCTTAACATTATTGGAGTTATTAATATTGATCTTAAAACATTAAAATAATTCCAGTGATGTTGATCAGAGAAATGACATGAACCATGCCTTCTCCATTCAATAAAATTAAAAAACAAAAAGCATTAAATTATGAAACAGCCCGTCCTACTGTTTTATTGTCCCTCAACAAGTTACACAAGTTTCTGTTTGACAACTGCACGGTCCCTGGATTCTGTCCACATATATAAACCTTACCTAACACTCACTCACTAGAGGTGAATACTGAGGACATAGAAAACAGTAACAGTTTAAGATGTCAAATGTCCGTCTCACTTTTCGTCTGTATGCAAATACACAGTAATGGCAGTCAAAGGAAAAGAGACATGATGGTACAGTGTCTCTCCGGCACACTCAGACTATTTGAATTCATTTTACTAGCTGGTTAGTCTGGTATTATTTTGCTAAACACAAAGCAACAGCATCCTGGTAAGCAACCGTGTGTCTCTCTGCGTTTAGGTTTAACGTTAGAGCAAGCTTCAGTTCTGTCTCTCTTTATCTGTACACACACACACACTGAGAAATTTGCATAGCACAATGCCCCTCCCTCCTGGGGGCTATATTGAGCAAAATAAAGTGAGGACCACGATTTTGTCCTCACTTTACCAAGAGGTCCTCACTTAAAAGGTGTTTTGTCACATTTTGGTCCTCACTAATATAGCAATACAAACACACACACACACACACACACACACACACACACACACACACACACACACATAAAGAGAGTCCCGCCCACAAACACGCTCGAGGAAAAGAAAGAAGCGAAACTAAACTGTTTGTGGAGTCCCTTTAACACCGAGCTGCTTGTTCTCCATGCAAATGGCAGATGAGCAGGACTCATGCGTGTGCTCGGTTTGCCTCCAGGACCTGCAGGAAAACAGCTGCCCTCAGTGTAAACAGGATTCCTCATGTGGGACAGATCTGGAAGAAAACGAGGCTCCAGCTGCAGATCCAGACGAATCCAATGCTCACCAACCACAAAGGACATTGTCTGGGCTGCTACAGAACGAGCAGAGGAGCAAGTAATTGTGGGTCAGGGTTGGTTTGAGTCCAATGAAGTACCTGTTTTTAATATGCAATGCATAAACAAGCCATTTTTTACTGGTTCGATGAATATGCATGAGAATAGAGTTACAGTTTGGTTTACAAATGGTATTTTGATGAGGGATTGTTGGTATGGACTTGGTTCCACAACTACAGAGTAGATGTTGCTCAAATGTGAGCACAAAAGCAGTCTTAAGTCGCTGGGGTATATTTGTAGCAATAGCCAAAAATACATTGTATGGGTCAAAATTATAGATTTATCTTTTATGCCAAATTAGGATATTAAGTAAAGATCATGTTCCATGAAGATATTTACTACATTTCCTACCATAAATATATCAAAACGTAGTTTTTGATTAGTATTATGCATTGCTAAGAACTTAATTTGAACAACTTTAAAGATGATTTTCTCAGTATTTTGAGTTTTTTGCACCCTGATTCCAGATTTTCAAATAGTTGTATCTCGGCCAAATATTGTCCGATCCTAACAAACCATACATCAATGGAAAGCTTATTTATTCAGCTTTCAGATGATGCATAAATCTCAATTTTGAGAAATTGACCCTTATGACTGGTTTTGTGCTCCAGGGTCACAAATAAGACTTTGTAAACTCTTCAGAACAAAGACATAATGATTAAAAGGCAATGATAATAAGAGAGACATACCTAATTCAAGTTGCCACAACAGTCACCAGACACTACAGGTTATGACACACAGCTAGTGCCTGTGATAGTTCTCAGTCACAACAGCGATGCTAAAAGTAAAAGATTGAGGTCTTGAGTGACGATGTCCAATGATAACCAGAGGCAGCTGGAAAATCCAAGAAGACGGTTACGGATCGAGAGACTGAGATGGAGGAAATCCAAAAGGCATCATGTGGCCTCAGGGTGAGATTAAAAAGTTAAATAATTTTCCAAACACTTTCTCCTATCCCAGATTAATAGACATGAGCTATAATTAAGCCATTGGTGGACTTCCCAAAGTGACTTGAACCATGAACAATAGAAGATGGGAGAGGGGCAGTTCCTTCTGGTGCCTTTAGTGGTGCAGAAAAGTTACACACTTCCACCAAACAAGAACGAGAACAAGAGCAAAAAAGTGTTTGTCACTGTTTGGTGAACAAATTTGTTGTTGCCGTCAAACCAGTTTTATTCCAAAGTATGGCACCCTTTTGTCTCACCAATGTTCAACCTAAACTACACCTTTGTGTTCAGAATTTCCATACATCCAAAAGCAACAAGTACAGACGGTTTCACTGCTGGACTGGAAAAAACCTTGCAGAGCAACCAGTCACTGCAAGAACTGGTGGATTCCAGCATCTTTAGCTATCTTAATGTACACTTGGTAAGTGGGCTGAGGTTGAAAGTAGGATATAACTAGTTCCATATGGGACCTGTGCCTACCTGTAAAGAATCCCCCGGAGACGCTAAAGGAATATGATAGAAAAAAAACTATGATATCGAAAAATTGTATTTCAACGCTTGTGCATTCTCTCACAAACATTTTGCATCCCCACCCCAAAGAAACTCTGCGTTCCCTCACAAAACCATATGCCAAGTTTCTCAAAGAAATGCAAAACTTTTGTGAGTGAGCTCAAAATTTCTTAAGGGAACACAAAACTTTTGCGTGAACAATTTCTCAGGGGAATGGAAAAGCACTGAAATACAATTTTTCCCTCATCTCATTTTTTTTTGCTTCATGCTTTAGGGAGTCTGTTTGTAAGGTACTACACTCGGGTTCTCTATTTACATTGGTTTTATACTTCATTTACCGCATTTAAGGCAAAAACGCTTTATCGTCACATTCAAGACTTTTTCAGATGTTTAGATCCATGTTGACTTTTGATGGTAAATTGAAGGTAGGAGACATGCTTTAATACTTACAGTGCTGTTCCAAGTCTATATGACTTTCTTTTTTCCACACAACAGAACAATAGGATATTTTGATGAACCCATTTTGATGAACTTGAATTTCACACAAGTACATTTTCAGACTTGCACAGGTTTGAGGTCATCGAAACCAAACACCGTTGATTCTCGTAGCGGTCTCGTCAATAAACACAAACCAAGTTTGAATATGCAGAAGCAGAAATGCAATACGACTTCTCTTCATATGGCTTGGAATATAACGTCATATGGACACTTGTATACTTTTGTGATGTTGTTTTGTCCTCGACAACCCCTATGCTCAATAAAGACTTCAACAGACAAATGTTATCTCAAGGTGCTTTTAATGGTCAGCTAATGAACTCAAAAGAAACATGATCATGCAGCATCTAAAAAAAACAACAACAAAAAAAAAAAACTCAAGAAGAATGAGTGGAGAATTAACGAGTGTAACACACCCAGGACTTATTACAGCTCACAAACTACTTTTTTTGAACCAACCAAAGCTTGAATTATGGGAAAAGGTCTCTACTTTGACACGGTTGCCAGATATTTAATCACAGACGATGTTTCGCTCAAAGCTCTGGAGAGAATATTAGCAACTGACTATCTGGCAGCCATCCAGTCATTTCCGCATCAGGTTACGAACACTGGTTATTAACTGGCTGTTTCCAAAAGAAACCTGCATTGTTTGACAAACTACAACTCAATGAGTTTGTGAACTCAAGCCTATTAACTTATCTAGAGTCTTTTCCTATTCACGACCTTATTAGTCCAGAGTAGGGGAACCAAAGCAGGTGATTTTAACATCAAACCTAAAGTAATGGCTCAGTAAAGTCAGAATTGAGTTAGAGACGGAGGCGTTATGTGCCTGGGTGAAATACTCAAAACAAAAAACCCACACTATGCTGAACTGGCAACTTAAAGCACTCAATTTCCAATTAAAGAGCATCAGAAAATCCTGCGGACAGTCGAGTTATTTACACATAGCTCTCAGATGAAGGTTTGCAATGCCGAATTTCACTTTATTTGAAGCGTTTTTGATTTTAGGGAAAGCAAGTTGCGTCGAAGAGCATCTCGAACCAATTTCCCGATTAAAGTGCACATGGATGAGAGATGAGAGAGGGGTAAAGAGAGATGAACACAGAGAAAAGAGCATCACTCTCCGGATCGACAGCAAGCCCTGAAGCCACACTGCAGATTCTGACACCCGCTGGCCTCGTCAGCATGAGGACCTGCAGGACCACAGAAACTCAAGTTAAGAAAACCCTAAATACATAGACAACGCTCTCAATTCATGCGCTGGCGCGAACAGTTTGAGTAAATGAATCCACAGAGAACATTCACTAAACTGAGAAAAATAAACGGCACATCTAGAGCTGCATTCAAGAGCACAGAAAACATGCTAAATGTGGATAATAAAATGCAACTAGTCTATTAAGTCAGATAAAGACAGAATTCATAATAGGGCTGCACGATAAATCGAAATGGAATCGAGATCGCGATTCGACAGAAGGTGCGATTGTCATGCGTATCTTACAGAACCGGCATTACTAACAAGATGCGCACGACAATCGCATTCGATTAATCGTGCAGCCCTAGTTCATAATAACACACCCTTTACTCACCAAGATGCCGTCATACTTGGGTTTGGACTTCATATGTGGAATTGTGTGCATTACAGTCATTTACATTTAAATATATATATATATATATATACACACACACAATTAAATTATATATATATAATTTTAACTAGAATGAAATGAAAATGGAAAACAAAAAATGGATAATATTAAAAAACGCCAACAGTATCTCAATGATACTAAAATAGCAAAGTATTTTCTCTTTTTTTAGTGTTACATTTAAAAAAAAAAATATTTGATTTGAACTTTTTGTTATTTATAATAAATACAAAATGTCAAATTGACATTATATTTATTTAAAAAATATTACAAATAAATATTTTTTTTATTAAAAAATAATTTATTTTTAATATTTATTTTATAAATAAACCATCACAATAAATCATTATTTATTATCATTTGCTTTTCATCCATTTAGAAACACAGTTTGGAGAAACGTTGTGTTAATTTCGTCAGCCATTTTTAATTTAGTGTTTGTCTTAGTCTTTTTAGTTATTAACATATTTAGTCAAACTTGTCCTGTTTTTGTTTAGTCAAGTTTTAGTCAATGGAAAACTGTGTCACATTTTCGTCATGCTTTATAATAGTTAAACTGATTTAAAAAAATTGCTCAATTATAAAATCGAAAAGATTGCGGTCATTTGAGAAAATTATTTTTACATTTCAGGTATATTGCACTTTCACCAATAAGCACAAATCAATAGAACGTGGACTATTTTACCTCATCTAGTGTACGGATTTTATTATAGGCTATTTAATATATGAATTAATATCAACGACTTAGATATGCACTCTCTCTGTCTACATTATGAAAACGTTAAAACGTTACATTTTAACAGTAAAATTCCTAACAGTAATTCCAAATTGCAATAATGTTTCTCAATTAAAACAACAGCGGTTGAGTAAGTGCATTTATTCAGCGAACACGATCGCAAACGAAACAGTGGAGATCAGATCGAGCTCATTTAAGCTGAACATCTCACATGGCGATCGCTGAACTTCAGTTTACTCGTTTGTCGGATCATCGTCGGCGCTTCTGTGATGAAGAGCAAGAGCATGGTTGCCAGATTGCAAAAAATACGCAAAACACCAGGCAGAAAATGTATCCTTTTAACAGTGAAGCTCTGATTTGCAGATTTGAACTCTTGATATCTGGCAACTGCACATATGAAAGCTCGTATAATATTTTGTCTCCTTTTTTTCGACGAAAATTAAAAGAGGTTTTGGTAAAGTTTTATTTTTTATAATACATTTTAGTTTTTTTTCGTCAATGATATTGCATTTTGATATGTGACCCTGCAGCACAAAACCAGTCTTAAGTGTCAATTTTTGGAAATTGAGATTTATGCATCCTCTGAAAGCTGAATAAATAATCTTTCTATTGATGTATGGTTTGTTAGGATAGGACAATATTTGGCCGAGATACAACTATTTGAAAATCTGGAATCTGAGGGTGCAAAAAAATCTAAATATTGAGAAAATCATCTTTAAAGTTGTCCAAATGAAGTTCTTAGCAATGCATATTACTAATCAAAAATTAAGTTTTGATATATTTACAGTAGGAAATTTACATAATATCCTAATGATTTTTGGCATAAAAGAAAAATCTGTAATTTTGACCCATACAATGTATTGTTGGCTATTGCTACAAATATACCCCAGCGACTTAAGACTGCTTTTGTGCTCCAGGGTCACATATGTATAAGACAAGTTTGTACCAGATGTAGTTGTAGTTCATGCATTTTTTTCTGCAAAGATATTTAACAAGTGATTCGTTTGAACAACTTCATGTGTGCTGCACTTGGAATAGAATTTTCATTAACTAGAGGGATAATAAAGAAAAAAAATTTACTTGAATCATGTTGTAGTTACACTTTCAAGTTGACTAGTTAAAAATAGTAAAAAAAAAAAATTGAGAATCGGTCAAACGTTCTGAAAAAAATCGAGATTTACATTTTTTGCCAAATCGCCCAGCCCTAAGTCACAGTCATCGTTTATTGACCTTACTGTCGTCTCGTCTTAGCCATGGGAAAAATTCATTTTTCGTTAACGAAATGAATACTAGTTCGTGAGCAAGTTATGAAAGTTGTACGTTTTTGTTTCATAAATAATTGAAAGACATTCGTTATTCATGTAGATTGTATGGCTGGACTCTTGTATGCACGATGGTGTTCTGTCTATGTGTTACCGTTAATGTTATCGCAGTAGTAAAAGTGCTCGATGTTGAGGGAGGGGCAAACGGACACCAGCTCCTGAAGCCCCGCCCCCGTGATGAGCAGACAGCCGGAGAGATTGAGATGCAGCAGCAGAGGGAGTCCTCCTCGCTGAGACAGACACCTGCCACAAACACACAGAAGAGTAGCATCATGACTTTACTTTACATCTTTACTAATGTTTTATGTATACTGCTTGTAATACAATTCACTGTTAATTGTTTCATAACCAGCTTTGTTACTGTTACCTAAAACAATTTAAAAAATGTTTTCATTAATTAAAATAAACTTAAAATAAAAAAATAAATGTGAGAATTTTTTTTTGTAAAAATGTTGAAAAAATGTAACTTTTTTTTTTAAAAATTAGACAATCAGAAATCTGAAATAAGTTCAAGCTGAAGTACTAAAATTATTCAAACTACAACTGAAATAAAAAAATAACTATTTGAAGAAAAACTAATAAAATTGCTAAAACAAATTGTTTAATAACCAATGTTGCTATTGTTTGCTAAAACTAAAACAATTAAAAAAAATGCATTACTTAAAATAAACTTAAAATAAAATAAAAAAATAAATGTGAGATAAAAAAAAAAACTTAAAAAAAAAAAAAATTTGGAAAGAAATGTGAAACTTTTTTTTTAGACAAATCAGAAATCTGAAATGAAGTCCTAAAAAAAAAAAAAACTAAACTAAACTAAAACTCCTAAAATTAACTAAAACTAAAGCTGAAATAAAAATAAATTAAAGATAAATATAACTATTTGAAGAAAAACAAATAAAATTGCTAAAACAAATTGTTTAATAACCAATGTTGCTATTGTTTGCTAAAACTATTCAAATTTGTTTTCATTAATTGAAATAAAGCTGAAATAAAATCAAATATAAATATTACGTAAACAACTTAAACTTAAAAAAAAACAAAAAAACCTAAGACTATTCAAAAATAATTTCTGTAAATTGAAATAAAGCTGAAATAAAATATTCGACAAATAAAATAATCATAATAGAAATATTGCCTTGACAACTATCTGGAATATATTTAAAAACTAAAATGAATATTTAAAGAAAAACTAATAAAATGACAAAAGCACACAACCAAATTGCTTCAAATATAAACAGAATAAAAAAAATAATATATAACATAAAATATTAAAATTAAGGTAAAATAATAATTATGTTAAGAAATATATCAACATTAAAAATACAAAAAAATATTTCTCTCTCTCTCTCTATTATATATATATACACACACACACACACACACACACATATACAGTGGGTACGGAAAGTATTCAGACCCCCTTAAATTTTTCACTCTTTGTTATATTGCAGCCATTTGCTAAAAT